TTTATTTATTTATTTGATAGAGACACAGAGAGAGAGGGAATACAAGCAGTCCCGGGGAGTAGGAGAGGAAGAAGCAGGCTTCCCGCAGAGCAGGGAGCCCGATGTGGTGCTCGATCCCAGAACCCCCCGATCATGACCTGAGCCAAAGGCAGACGCTTAACGACTGAGCCACCCAGGCACCCCAACAAAATTTTTCAATAAGACATTTTTTCAATTGAGTATACAATAGCTGTACTTGTTAACAACAGGTTAACAACTTTCACTTTGTTGCTATTGTGTTGCTGTTGGTAACATTTCCAATTATTGCTTATGTTTGAAATTCATGGCATCATGGAAAGGATTTTTAATCCTAAACCCTATTATAATTTATTTACTTTTATAGATCCCAAGATTGTCTAAAGATAAATGTATCTGCATGTGTCTATTAAAGGTTTTAATGGAAAATTGAAAAAGAAAACTGATAGAAAATCAATTGTGTTATCACGAGGGGAACTTGTGAAATTTGAAATACATACTTTTAAGAACTTAGAAAAGGTGTTTTCCCCTACTTTGACTAAATAAAGCAAAGCATTTTGCTCTGAAAAGCTGTACAAAAGTATAATTTCCTAGTGCTTACTTCAAAATTAATATGGTTACATAAATGCTTATGCACATGGTACAGGGAATGTTGTGGCAAATGGGAAGTGGGCAGACTCACACATGTCACCAAGCATCCTCAAAGCCACTATATGCTCCAGGTAACAGCCTGGAGCCTTCAGATGGCCTTCCCCCATCTAAAGCAAAGCCTCGGCAGGATGAACTACACGATACTTAGACTAATAATCTAAGACTCCAGTTGACAGAGCCATTTTTGTGATTGCCCAGTTAATAAAAAGATCACCCCTTTTAACATCTTCATCTATCAATCACAAGACAATAACCTTGTTACTGGGGATAATCTCAGAGTGTCCTCTGCAGAAGGGCAGGTATGGAGAAGCTGGCCCCACGCCCAGCACTAGCTGATTCCCTTGGACATACGTTGGGCAGATATGGATGAATTCTGGGGTGTGAGCTTTGGGCACATAATTCTCAATAACTAAAGGAAAGAAAATTTGGATTTTTTTAAAAAATTTTATTGGTAAGTAATCTCCACATCCAACAAGGGGCTCTAACTCACAACCCTGAGATTAAGAGTTGCACGCTCTTCTGACTGAGCCAGTCAAGCACCCCTGGAATATTTTTTTAACCAAGGAAATACAATAATGTCCCATCTTTCTGTTTTGCAGGCAAAGCCCTCTGAATCGGAAGTCTTAGCACAACAGCAGCAAACAGCACGTGCTACAACCCTTAGACAGAGATGGACACTACGGCATGGCCCTCTCAAGTCCCATAAACCCAACCAGTCATTTTAAATTCATCACAATTGCAAAATACTGTCCAGAAACATCAGAAAGTAAAGTAGGTAAGCTTTCATGGGATATCTGACTTCATCTAAAATACTAACAAGAAATTTATGTTGGACAGATGAGATGGAATTTGAAGGAGAAGTACAAGGTGGCAATACAAGGTCCTACCTTTTTTCCATTAAACTTTCAAATAATAACCTGAAACTAACAACACGGTATGTTAACTGGAATTAAAATAAAAACGAAAGGGGTGTCTGACTGGCTCAGTCAATAGAGTATGCAACTCTTGCTCTTGGGGTCGTGAGTTCAAGCCCCACATTGGGCGTAGGGCGTGCTTACATACATACATACATAAAATAACAAAAAAAGAATAAAATGAAAACTGTCAAATAATAACTTAAAAACAGCAAGCTGGTTAGCAATAAAAACAAATAGTTCTGGCCAGCACCAAAAGAGGAAGAAGCAAATAGCTTATACACACTCATGTGCATACATACCACTCACAGCAAAAGTGTCTACGGTAGTATGTCTTTAGACAAATATATTTAAGATTTGAGCAAATTAAAATTTAGATACAAAAAGCTCTTAAAAAGAGACCACTAGATCCAGAAAAGATGACAATGAAATTTCTAAAAATATGAGAAACAAAATAAGGAAAAATTTCCTGATAACAAAGTTCATGTTGGATTATTTCTAAAGTTTCTCCCAATATTAAAATAATATTTCTGTAGCAAATGTTGGGTCATACTTTCCCCAAACTAGCCTCAAGGTCAAGCTATCAACACAGGACCCACTTAGTTTCTATTCTGTGCTTACAGAGAACGGGTGAGGGGAAAGGATGTAAGTTTGGAAAATCTATGAATTTAGGTGCTCTTCTAATAGTTGTAATACATCAGACAATCTTATAAAACATTTTCTGGATTTATACCACATAACAATAATTTAGGTAGGTAGGAAGGTAGATAGATGTGTGAAGTTTTAAATGGACAGACATACAGATGGATGGATGGGTAGATGGGTAGATGGATGGATGGGTGGGTGGATAGATGAATGGATGGGTGGGTGGATGGATGGATGGGTAGATGGATGGATGCGTGAGTGGATGGGTGGACAGGTAGATGGATGGACAGGTGGGTAGGTGAATAGATGAATGGATGGGTGGGTGGATGGATGGGTAGATGGATGCACGGGTGGGTGGGTGGATGAATGAATGGATGGATGGTTAGATAGATGGGTAGGTGGGTGGTTGGATAGATGGGTAGGTGTGTGGGTGGTTGGTTGGACAGATGGGTAGGTGGGTCGGTGGATGGGTAGATGGATGGATGGGTGGGTGGGTAGATAGAAGGATGGATGGTTGGTTAGATGGGTAGGTGGGTGGGTGGTTGGATGGACAGACAAGTAAAAGTTTGAAGGCAGGATAGAGAACTTGCCTGCATGGCCACCTCTTTGCTCTCACTCCCTGGACCCAGGGACCACTCATAGAGGACAATCTGGTGATCATCACTGCTCTGGTTTCCATTCAAAGTGATGGAGTTTTGGGGCAAAGTTATGGTCTGATTTGGTCCTGCATTGGCAACTGGAGGATGGTCCACAGCACTGTTGACTATTAGGGCTGCAGTTGTGGAGTTAGAGGCTCCATCCGAGTCTGTAACAGTCAATCTACAAAAGGGAGAAATATGAGAAACAAAATAAGGAAAATGTTGCAAAAAAAAATCATGTTGCAAGAAGATGCCAAGTCTTAAGGCAAATGGTCCATTTAGTCTGCCCATGGTACATTTCTCAGAAAAACTCAGAAGATGTGTAAACAGAAATTTGAGGATGAGGTTGAGAAAAGAACAGAGTATCCGAGGGTTTTTTTGTTAATGTGTTGCTGTTGGTTTATTTTAGTTTTAGCTAGTAATACAGCCACATGATGGAGTTGTATCTTATATGGGTTTCTGACTAGTCTTGGAGACGCCAGATGAATAAATCTTCCTCAACCAACACAGGAGCCTCCCTCTAGTACCTGAGACAAAGAATGTGTCGGAGTTAGGTCCTGCCTTCAGGTCTGAGCACGTGGAGACACTACATCACTCATCAGTTTTCATCTACAAAGATTTTGCATTCTTTTTATTCTTTTCTAGAGGACTTAATATAATTATGTTTTCAGAACACTCCTTGCAGACACTCGTTCAGGACGTCCTGTGGTGAACTCACTGCTGATGAGGTCCTGGATCAGGAAATAAATGGTCACTTCATCCTTCTGGGGTAAAGATGTCGGTTCTGAACAGTGATGAATGTTATACAGGTGTTAGTAGGAATAGGATAATGAAGCTATGGGAGGAACACAGGCTTTACATGTAGTAAGGTATGTGTATGGGGGCACGTGTATTCTGTGCACCCTTTCACACTATCCCACACACTCCAATACAACCAAGATCCAAACTCTGGTTCAGGCTCTGATAGCAAACCAAGCATCTGAGATCCTTCCTCCTCAGCCAGGCTGTCGGGACACAAACCGGGGCCCCTAAGGGGATTTCTTCATGGTAAAATGGAGACAGCAGCAGTAATGTGCCTCAACCAGATGATGAATTAAATAAAAATGAAATGGGGAGGAGTTAGGATGGCAGAGGAGTAAGGGGACCCTATGCTTGCCTTGTCCCTCAAACACAGCTAGATAAATATCAACTCATTATGAACACCCAGGAAATCGATCTGAGGGCTGAGAGAACAAACTGCCGAAGTAGAGGGAGAAAAGAGGCCACACTGTGGAAGGTAGGAGGTGCAGAGATGTGATTTGGGGGAGAAGAGAATCCCGGGTGCCGCAGAGGGGAGGGAGCCCTGATCACAGAGAGAGCAAACAGCGCACAGGGGATTGAACAAGAACACTTCCCCAAAGCCACTGACTGGGAAAATGAGAGAGCCTGCTTATTGTGAGTTTTTACAATCAACAGAGCTCAAAGACTGAAGTTTTAGAAGTCCGCACTGCAGCCAGTGTGGAGCCCAGTGGGCACAGTGGTGCTCCTGTGGAGAAGGAGGGCAGAGGCCTGGGAGTGGACAGCGTGGTCTGAGGATCCCCTGCATCACACTGGAGAGACAGCTCCCCTCCTGGAGTGCATTTGGGAGAAGTGGTACTGCCTCACGGGGACAAAAGAGCTGGTGGGCACCACGGCACTGTCCTGTTCATCAGCACAGGGGCAGAGGCACCTGCTGAGGGCAGCCAACCTGGACACCAGCTTTTTGCTGTGCTTTACTCTGAACTCCAAGCACCTGTGCATTCCTGCAACTGCCCTCTGGGGCAAACTCCTACCAGCCCCAGCGCCCCAAGACCCTCCTCCAGAGGATCATCGTGGGTCCAGGCAGCGCCGAGTCCCTAAAATTTGGAGTTTTGAATCTCTGCCAGGTGCCAGAGATAAAATATAGAAGCACTGTGCCACCAGGTGGGCAGACAGCTCAGTCGCAGACACGGTGAAGGCAGAGATCCGAGGGATACCTGGCACACAAGGGAAGATTCTTCACTCTTCTGTGAAGGTTTCCTGGACAGTGGGGGCACAAATTCAGGGACCTAATTTGATTAGGTCCCTGGCGTGTCCTTTTCTTGTTCTTCCTTTTGGGTGGGGGCCCAGGGAGAGGGTGGATGCCATTTTCTTCCTCCACCCAACAGTACCACTGGATTTCAGTGAGCAGCAGAGTGAGTGCCCCCTCCCCACACCCGTCCAGGGGAGGCTGGAGCCACTTACCCCAAACCCCACCCCCTGCACTCTGCAGGTGCTTCTATGCTAGGGCAAATATGCCTAAGAGCCAGGGCAGCAGGCCTCTCCCCCAGAAAACAAGCACAAATCCCCCGGAAGCACCAAGTCTACTGATGATAGAGTGCTACAAAGTTACAGCTCTAGTGGAAATAGGATCCGGCCTTTTTTAACAAGCAGATGAAAGCATATCTAGTTAAAACTCATCACACACTGGACAAGGTTCAAACACTCCTTAGTGCAAGCAAGGAAAAACTCAGCAGAGGGCTGACCTGAGGGAAAGAGCCCCCAAAACACAGCAGCAGGGTACACGTAGCACAGACCAGACACACATCCCGAAGCACCAGGCCCTGGACAGTATATGACCTCTTCTTAATAAGCCATTACTCTCAGGAGCAGGAAACGTAACAGGCTTTCCTAACACAAAGAGGATACAGACCTAGCCAAAATGCCAACACAGAGGAAATCATCCCAAAAGGAAGAACAAGAAAAGGACATGCCAGGGACCTAATCAAAACAGATATAAACAATATGCCTGCTCCAGAATTGAAACAACAATCATAAGGACACTAGCTGGGCTTGAGAAAAGCATAGAAGGTATCAGGGAGTCCCTTACCACAGAGATAAAAGACCTAAAAACTAGTCAGGCTAAAATAAAAAATGCTGTAACTGAGATGCGAAACTGACTGGATGTAATGACCACAAGGATGGAAGAAGCAGAGGAGAGAAGAGGTGACATAAAAGACAAAATTATGGAAAATAATGAAGCTGAAAAGAAGAGGGAAAGAAAAATACTGGATCACGAGTGTAGAATTAGGGAACTCAGCAACTCCATAAAGGGCAATATCATTCGTATCATAGAAGTCCCAGAAGAAGAGTGGGAAAAGGGACACAAGGTTTATTTGAGCAAATTATAGCTGAAAACTTCCCTAATCTGTGGAAAGAAACACTCAATCCAGGAGGCACAGATAACTCCCATCAAAATCAACAAAAGCAGGCCAACTCTAAGATATATCACAGTAAAATTTTCAAAATACGGAGATAAGGAAAAAATCCTAAAAGCAGCAAGGGAAGACAAATACGGTTAGCAGCAGATCTATCCACAGAAACTAGGCAGGCCAGAAGAGAGTGGCATGATACATTCAACATCCTGAATGGGAAAAATATGCAGCCAAGAACACTTTATCCAGCAAGGCTGTCATTCAGGACAGAAGGAGAGATAAAGAGTTTCCCAGACAAACAAAAACTAAAGGAGTTCGTGAACAATAAACCAGCCCTGGAAGAAATATAAAAGTGGACTCTTTTGAGCGGGGAAGAAAGACCAAAAGCAACAGTGGAAAAGAAAGACCGAAAACAACAAAGACTAGAAAGGAAAAGAGAAAATCTCCAAAAAACAATGACTTTACAGGTAACACAATGGCATTAACTGCATATCTCCCAATAATCACTCTGAACGTAAATGGACTAAATGCTCCAATAAAGAGAAGCAGGGTATCAGAATGGATAAGAAAACAAGATTCATCTATATACTGTCTATAAGAGACTCATTTTAGACATAAAGACACCTGCAGATTCAAACCGAGGGGTTGGAGAACCATCTATCATGCTTATGAGCATCAAAAGAAAGCCAGAGTAGCCATACTTATATCAGACAAACTAGAGTTTAAAACAAAGACTGTAACAAGAGATGAATAAGGGCACTATATCATAATTAAAGGTTCTATCCATCAAGAAGATCTAACAATTGTAAATATGCCCCCAACTTGGGAACCCCAAATATATATATATATCAATTAACAACAGACATAAAGAAACTCATTGATAACAATACAATAATAGTAGAGGACTTTAACACCCCTATTAAATCAATGGATGAATCATCTAAGCAGATCAACAAAGAAACAATGGCTTTGAATGACACACTGAACCAGATGGATTTAACAGATATATTCAGAACATTTCATCCTAAAGCAGCAGAATACACATTCTTCTTGAGTGCACATGGAACATTCTCCAGAATAGATCACATACTGGGTCACAAATCAGCCCTAAACAAATACAAAAAGATTGAGATCATACCATGCATATTTTCAGACCACAATACTATGAAACTTGAAGTCAACCACAAGAAAAAATTGGGAAGACCACAAATACACGGAGGTTAAAGAACATCTTACTAAAGAATGAATGGGTTAACCAGGAAATTAAAGAAGAAATTTTAAAAAATACATGGAAGCAAAAGAAAATAAAACCACGACAGTCCAAAACCTTTGGGATGTAGCAAAGGTAAGTATAGAGTGATACAGGCCTTCCTCAAGAAGCAAGAAAAATCTCAAAGACACAACCTAATCTTAGACCTAAAGGAGCTAGAAAAGGAACAGCAAATAAAGCCTAAATCCAGCAGGCGAAGGGAAATAAAAAGATTAGAGCAGAAATAAATGATATAGAAACTAAAAAAACAACAGAACAGATCAATGAAACCAGGATGTAGTTCTCTGAAATAATTACTAAAATTGATAAACCCCCTGCCAGACTTACCAAAAATAAAAGAGAAAGGATCCAATTAAATAAAATCACAAACGAGAGGGGGGAAATAACAACCAACACCAAAGAAATACAAAAAAAGTATAAGAGAATACTGTGAAAAACTATAGGCCAACAAACTGGACAACCTGGAAGAAATGGATAAATTCCCAGAAACATACGAACTACCAAACCTGAAGCAGGAAGAAATAGAAAACTTGAACAGACCCATAACCAGCAAGGAAACTGAAGCAGTAATTAAAAATTTCCCAACAAACAAAAGTCCAGGGCCAGATGGCTTCCCAGGGGAATTCTACCAAACATTTAAAGAAGAGTTAATACCTATTCTTCTCAAACTGTTCCGGAAAATAGAAACAGAAAGAAAACTTCCAAACTCATTCTATGAGGCCAGCAATACCCTGATAGTAAAACCAGATAAA